TGTAGAATTACCCAATAAAACATTTTTTCTTTTTCTTCTATCCGTACACCCGCTTCTCCTTTCATCCATCTTTCCGCCCTCTCATCCATCTATCCTTCTTACTTCTCATCCATCCATTTACCCATTCGCCCATTCATCCATCCACCCATCCACCTGTCAACCTATCCACCCACCCACCCATCCACCCACTCATTCCAACCCTCCCATCCGTCCATTTATCTATCTATCCACTCCGTCCATTCATCCATCTATCCACTCCGTCCATTCATCCATCTATCCACTCCGTCCATTCATCCATCTATCCACTCCGTCCATTCATCCATCTATCCACTCCGTCCATTCATCCCATCCATCTATCCACTCCGTCCATTCATCCATCTATCCACTCCGTCCATTCATCCATCTATCCACTCCGTCCATTCATCCATCTATCCACTCCGTCCATTCATCCATCTATCCACTCCGTCCATTCATCCATCTATCCACTCCGTCCATTCATCCATCTATCCACTCCGTCCATTCATCCATCTATCCACTCCGTCCATTCATCCATCTATCCACTCCGTCCATTCATCCATCTATCCACTCCGTCCATTCATCCATCTATCCACTCCGTCCATTCATCCATCTATCCACTCCGTCCATTCATCCATCTATCCACTCCGTCCATTCATCCATCTATCCACTCCGTCCATTCATCCATCTATCCACTCCGTCCATTCATCCATCTATCCACTCCGTCCATTCATCCATCTATCCACTCCGTCCATTCATCCATCTATCCACTCCGTCCATTCATCCATCTATCCACTCCGTCCATTCATCCATCTATCCACTCCGTCCATTCATCCACTCCGTCCATTCATCCATCTATCCACACCGACCACAACCACTCCTCACTCACCATAACCTTCATACTGGTGGTTGTTTCGGGTACAGAGTCGCAGAGAGAACTGGGCCTTCTACGACCTGTGAAAAGGGTTATATACCAAGAAGACCATAGCACGACCTTCACCCTACAGAAGGGAGTGAGGGAAAGGGTACTGCACCGTTCACGTAGGGTATAGAAAGGGGCGTGGTGGGTATGCAGAATATATGATAGGTGTAGAAGAGTGTGGTGGGTATACAGAAAGTGTATTAGGTGTAGAAGGGTGTGGTGGGTATGCAGAATATATGATAGGATGTTTGACGAGTGAGGTGGCTATACAGAAAATATATTAATGTATAAGGGTGTGATATGTGTATCATACGTAGGAAAGTAGCATATCATGTATTTTATCGTATAGAAGGGATGTGTATTAGGAAGAGAAAGGGAATAGGAGAAAGTATATACCCTAATCACATACTATATAGAATAGGCAAAAGGGAAGAGGCAGAAAAGACTTCGTATAAGATATAGTTGTTGATATGGTGGCCTGTATAATTTGCATAATCATGGTGTGTCTAGGCCTTGTTGCTAAGGAAATATGAGGCCTCGTTGATTTCCAACCTTAAAAAAAATGAATCAGTGAGGTAAGATATACGCTTAGTCATTACTATTGTTTTTATTGTTCGATGATTCCAACAGCATTAGCATCAACTACACCTTAATGATTATCATGGATAGTATTTTATCCAAATAACATTGATTGTGGAAATGACATAGCATCATTGCTGTTGCTTCCTCGTTAGTCTTGCTCTCAGGGCGAATATTATAGTCATTATCATTATTATTTTTAGCAACATTATCATTATAATCATTCATATGTTGAAATCATTAACATCATTACTATTCCTCACTTCATTACGGCTGCTGTAGGTGTTGTTGTTAATATTATCAATGTCGTGGAAAAAACAAACGGACAATATTCGTCAAAAAGAAAATAGCAGTGTGGTATCTTGTACCATACGCGTGATTTTCTCACCATGAATGCCAGAAAAAGCATCCATTTTTCATACATCTCACATACTGCAACACTATCTGGGGAGCTGTCAATGAAACCACGTGTAATACGAACAATTGCTGGATTACGCAAATATGACCATACTAATAGTGCATTTTCTACACTGAAACTATTGAAACTGATGGACATAAATACCTACTTCTGTGCTCTCTTCATTTTTAACTGTATCAGTATCTTCGAAAATAACTTATTCCGGTACAGAAATGATTTAAGATATTCTCTGCGATCAAATTCACTATTAAAGCACTCAACTGTAGGCTCAAACCAATCAAAGACATGTACTTTATATCATGGGGTGAGTGTATGAATCAATCTGCCCTCACATCTCCACAATGCTCCCTCACTACTGTCACTCAAGAAATCGTTGAAGACCATCTATTAAATATGTCAGAGTGAATTCTGATGATTAGGATAAATGTAAGAAGTAAATTGTATAAGTATATATACAGGTAGAGAACAGCATGTATTAATGCATTTGCATGGATGCTTATATGTACGCATAATTAATGTGTGTTTATATATGTAGGTATGTATATATATATATATATATATATATATATATATATATATATATATGTGTGTGTGTGTGTGTGTGTGTGTGTGTGTGTGTGTGTGTGTGTGTGTATGAGTGTATATATAAATATAATCTTGTGCAATATATAATTTTATTTTTTATTATTATTGTTTATGAATAACAATATCATTTATTACAATATATTGTTATTTTCTAACATAGTCTACTTTACTAGTCTGTTCTTTATTATATATACTATATCATGTTTTTTTTTTTTTTTTTTTTTTGTCTATATTACTGTCATCGTCTCTAATCCACCTAAAAGCTTAATCCAGTCTAAAAGCTTAAATACACATTAATTCCCCTAAAATAGGTGCCTCCTTAAGAAAGCTTGTGTTCTCCGGAGGATCAGCCATTCTATTTCTATTTTGTGTCAAACTGTCTTTATGTATATTGGCTGAATAAACGTTATCAATGTCAATATCAACATCAATGTTATGTTTCTTACTTTATTTTTTTATGTTATCTATACTAGTGTTATTATTATCATATTATTTACATCATTATAGTCATTATCATTATTTGTTCATTATTATCTATTACTATTATTACCATTACTTTTATTATTGTAATTATCATTATTGTTATCATTATTATTACTATTATTATTGTTATTATCATAATTATTATTACTATTACTATTACTATTATTATTGTTGTTATTGCTGTTATTGTTATCATTATTGTTATTATTATCATTATCATCTTTATTATTATCATTACAATTATTGTTGTTGTTGTTATTAGTATTAGTATTACTATTATCATTATGATTACTATTATAATCGTTATTATTGTTATTATCATTATCATAATCATAATCATTATCATCATTATCAATATCATTGTCATTATTATTATTATCATTAATATTGCTATGATCATTATTATTATCGTTCTTAATATCAATATCATTATTATCTTTATTACCATTATCATTATCGTTATTATTATCCTTATTCTTGCTGTTGCTCTTACCTTTATCATCACAATTATCCTTATTATAATTATCATTATTGTTATCATTCTTATTACTATCATTATTATCATTGTTATTATTATTATTAATATTATTGGTATCGTTGTTAAGATTATTATTATTATTATCATTATTATTATTATTATTATCATCATCATCATCATTAATTTTCATTATTATTATCACTATCATCATTTTTATCATTATCAGCTTCATTATTGTTATTACCATTATCAATGATCTTATCATTCTCATTCTCATTATTATTGTTATTATCATTATTATTATCATTATCACTATTATCATTATTATCAATATTACTTATTTTATCATTATTAGTATTAGTACTGTTATAATTATTATTATTGCTATTGTTATCATTATTAGTATTAGTATTGTTATTATTGTTATCGTTATTATTATCATTATTATTGTTATCGTTATTATTATCATTATTATTGTCATTTCTTTTATTAATTATATCATTATTATTGGTGTTATTATTATCATCACCATCATTATTATGGATATAGATAGTACTAATACACTTTGGCGCAATTGTATCACAGCAAACATATTGTTATTTTCTAATTTTCTAAATGACATACGCATACGTTAACCTGCAATAAAATGTGTTTACACTCTACTTACACACACAAACATATATATGTATGTATATGTATATGAGTGTGTGTGTGTGTCTACCTATGTGTGTGTCTGTGCATGAATGCCTGTTCGAATTTTTTTGTGTTTGTGTGCGTGCGTGTGTATGTCTGTGCTCGAATTTATTTGCGTCTGTGTGCGTGCGCGTGTGTACATGTCTGCTTGCCTACTTCAGCATACGTAAGAGTGCATCTCAGCACGCACATTACTCGTTCACATCCCTCGGCAAGAAAACACAGAGATATTCTTCACCGACCTTTCACTCCATGTCCTTTTTTCAACATCCCGCGCGACCTTAACTAGTCTGCCACTTCTGCTGGTTTAATTACCAATGATTTGACCGCGAGGACGAGGGCAGCGCAGTGTTTGCAGGTCCCAGTTGTCGAGAGTTTTTTTCGGGTGATGCGAAAGTTAGCTGTGGTGTTTTTTTTTTGTTTTTTTTTTTGGGGGGGGGGATTGGGATCATTCTGAATCTTGAATGTTGAATGGATTGTGAATATTGAATGAATCTTAAATGTTGAATGAATCTCGAATGTTGAGTGGATTTTGAATGTTATCTGAATATTGAATATCTATCCACACACACACACACACACACACACACACACACACACACACACACACACATACACACATACACACACACATATATATATATATATAGAGAGAGAGAGGGGGGGGGAGGAAGAGATTTATGTTAGTATGTATTTCTCTCTCTCTCTCTCTTTATATATATATATATGTGTGTGTGTGTGTTTACATTTAGGTGTACTATCATAATGCTACTATGAATTTTAGAAAAATGATAATAAAATGAAATAAAATTGTTAGAGTATGTTGTCGAAAGTTTATTTACAAAAGGGTTGCATGGAAGATAAAGAATGCAGATGCTTGATAACTTAGATGAAATGGCGCGAGGGTTGGCCGAGGCGCTTCTACGCGGCTCCGTCTTTACGCGTCGCCGAATCGGTTCTCATTTCCGTTTACTTGTCGTCCTCCTCCTCCTCCGAGTAGTCCTCGTCGCCCTCGAGGTCGGCCTGCTCGCCGTCAGCGCGGACGCCGCCGGCGGAGGGCACGGCGTTGGACTCCAGCACGCGGAAGCCCTTGTCGTCGGCGATGTACTTGACCACGAACTCGATGCCCTCGGGGCTCTCCCACCTGCAGGAGGGGGAAAGGTAAGCAACTGGATGGATACACAAACGTAGATAGATAGATAGGTAGGCAGATGGATAGACGAACAGATAGATAGATAAATAAAGAGATCAGCTCATTAAGTAAGTATCTATTCAAATCTCCGTTTAAGCGAAGGGATTTTAAATAGCTACGTGACGGCCAACAGATCGCGTTCGTCACTCACTTGTACTCTCCCGTGACGGCCTTGCCCGGCTCGCCCTCCTGGTCGTGCTCGGCGTCGTCGCCCTCGAAGTCAAGGATCTCATCGGGGCGGGCGGCGGCGAGGGCGGCCAGGCCAAGGAGGACCAGGAGCTGAGGAGATGATATTCCATCGGTTAAAAGAGTCACATGCCTAACTGAGATTCCCAACGGCGAGACAGCCCCACTAGCGTCCCAAAAAAGACAAGATTACAAAGACCTCCGATACAGTAGAAGACCAAATTCCCTTAAAAGAAAAGACAGCCATAAACACCTTTCTTCCCAGACATGAAACTCGCTCACTCACCATAACCTTCATGATGGCAGAGAAGACAGAGCAGACAAGACTCTCGAAGGGAACTGTCCGTCCTTTCGCCGTGATAGTGACTATATAGTGAGGGCGATGGTGACCTTCACCTCTGTGCGGGCGCTACCGAAAGGGGTGGGCGGGGGTGGGCGGGCGTAGGGGGGGTGAAGGGAAGGAGGAGAAAGGAGGGAGGGGGTGATGTTGGGATGGGAAGAGGGAAGAAGGAGAGAGTGAAAGAGAGAAGAGAGAGAGAGGGGGAGGGAGAGAAAGAGAGAGAAAGAAATAAAGAGACAGAGAAAGATACAGACAGACATACAGAGAGGACAGGATGACATCTAACAACGTACTAAAATGAGGGTAAATAACTAATCAAAGAATAAGATAAAGAAGGAAGGAGAGATATGATCAGGCAGGACTTTCACGGGAATAAATTATCTTCTAGCTTTTCGTCGCTGTGTCTCTCGCTCGCCAGAAGATGGAGAAGATACACACACACATACACACGTACACACACACGCACACACGCACACACACACACACACACACACACACACACACACACATATATATATATATATATATATATATATATATATATATATATATATATATATATATATTATGTATGTGTGTATGCATGTGTGTATATATATATATATAACAATCCTCCTTGACCTGGCCTCGAACCTAGGTCACTCCGGGTATGATACCGGAGGGCCAGTACTAAACCAACCATGCCACGCGACCCACTAAAAGGAGTGTGCAACTAGGATCTAACTCGCTCCATAGACATTACCTATCTACTCATACATGAGTAATGATAGCGAGGTTTTACACACACTCCCCGTGGGCACTCGGTGGAAATTGATTTAGAAATTCGAAACCGAAGTCAGATATCCTGAGGTATATATATGAAAGATGGAATAATGCAATGCCGAATTGATATGTATATATATTTTTTTTTTTTTTTTTTTTTCAACAGCCACTCATTCCACTGCAGGACATGGGCCTCTCTCAATTCACTATTGAGAGGTTATATGGCGGTTTCACCCTTGCTTGATTGAATGCCCTTCCTAATCAACCGCGGTTCGGCGCGTTAACACTTGTGCCACGGCGGTGACTTCCCCTACGACACCTGCGTCTGACTTCTCAAGGCGATATGTCGTTTTCTCGGGCTCGAGCAAGCAGTCAGAGCATAGGCATTTTTTTACAACTGCCACGACGGGGAATTGAACCCGGGACCACGAGGGTCGGAGTCCAGTGCTCTAACCACTGAGCTATCGCGGCAGTATTGATATGTATATATATATATATATATATATATATATATATATATATATATATATATATATATATATATATATATATATATATATATATATATATATATATATATATATATATATATATAGTTCGTGAAAGAAGTCCTTACTTAAAAATCATATGGATGGATTCTGATTTCATTGGACCTGAACATTCTTGTATCAACGTGTTATAAAGATGAACCCTTAAATGCAGGTAATAACGCATCGCCGCCAGCTGGAAGTCAGGCACCATTCAAGCAACATGGAATCCACCAAAATCGAGGCCAGGACAAACATTAAATTCATGGTGAAACTCCGTTGGGAGACCAGGCAAATCATTGATGCTCTGGAATAAGTTTATGGTGACAATGCCCCAAAGAAATCAACAACCTACAATGGATAAGGCGGGTCAGAAGTGGAAGAAACGAAATTGAAGGTGAGCCCCGCAGTGGCAGGCCATCAACGTCGGTTTGTGAGGAAAACATTGATGTTGTTCGCGACATGATTGAAAAGGATAGACGAACAACCACTGAATCAGTAGCAGACACACTCAACATCTCTGTGGGTTCTGCACACAATTCTGGTGGAGAGTTTGGGGCTAAGCAAGCTTTAAGCTCGATGGGTCCCTAGGCTGTTGCGCCCAGATCAGCAGCAGACAAGGGTAGATCTTTCAATGGAAATTTTGAACACGTGGGGTGAGGACAGGAGATAAAACATGGCTCTACCAGTACGATCCCGGGGACAAAATTTAATCAAAGCAGCGGCGGCCCAGTGATGGAAGCGGAGCAGTTAAAGCAAAATCTGAGCATTCAAGAGGAAAGGTCTTGGCCATTGTCTTCTGGAATACAGAGGGGATTTTGCTGACTGCCTCGAGAGCAAAAACCAATTACATCTGCTTATCATGAATGCGTTTTGAGAAAACTGTCATAAAAAAATCTCAGAAAAACGCCGTGGAAAGCTGCATCAACGCGTTCTCTTCCACCATGACGATGCACCCGCTCACGGCGCTCGGCAGACAAGCGCTGTGCTGCGTGAATTTCGATGGGAAACCGTCCGACATCCCCATCCAACTTCTTTTTGTTTCCAGACTTAAAAAATATAATAGAAAGATACTAATTTTCCATCGGTTGAACAGCTGCTCTGACATGGCTCAGATCACATGACTTCCAACTGGCGGTGATGCGTTATTACCTATTATAACACGTTGGTACAAGAATGTTCATTCCATACGATTTTAGTTATGGACTTTTTCCACGAACCCCGCTCGTAAATATATGTGTATATATATATATATATATGTGTGTGTGTGTGTGTGTGTGTGTGTGTGTGTGTGTGTGTGTGTGTGTGTGTGTGTGTGTGTGTGTGTGTGTGTGTGTGTGTGTACATAAACTGTATATATGTATATATACATGCATACAATTTTATGTATATGAATACATATATTTATAAATATATACATAAATATATGTTATATATATATGCATACATATACAAATAAATATATGTATATATGTATGCATGTACGGATAGATACATATATATACATACATGTGTGTGTGTATGTATGTATGTGTATATATATATATGCATGTGCGTATGTATGTGTGTGTGTGTGTGTACGTATACATATGTATGTTAACATATATATATACATATATGTATATATTTATATACATACATACATATATATATATATATATATATATATATATATATATATATATATATATATATATATATATGCATAGATGGATAGATAGACGGAGACATAGATGTCTATGTATATGCATGTATGTATGTACGTATGGAATGTATAACTGCTTTACATTCACATGCAGATATATATAGAGATATTTACAGAAAAAACACTTATATGAACCCGTATAAGCGTTAATACTTCCCTTCAAGCCTCAGCTAAGTTTTATCTGAATTCTGACTTGCAAAAGCGCACTCGCTTTGCTATAAAAAAAGTCCTTTCGAAGTAGTCAAAATTTATTTACACTGCATCGTGAAATGACATGAAATGCGAGATGATCAATTAAATTACATGAAATGATGCCATTAGATCCGAGGAGAATTTCCACGCGACCCGATCTTCCTTTTCATCGGATTTACTTGTCGTCCTCCTCCTCCTCCGAATAGTCCTCGTCGCCCTCGAGGTCGGCCTGCTCGCCGTCAGCGCGGACGCCGCCGGCGGAGGGCACGGCGTTGGACTCCAGCACGCGGAAGCCCTTGTCGTCGGCGATGTACTTGACCACGAACTCGATGCCCTCGGGGCTCTCCCACCTGCAGGAGGGGGAAAGGAAGAAGAGGAGACAGGGGAGAGAAAGAGAGAGAAGGGGAGGGAGAGGGAGATGGAAGGAAGGGGGGGAGAGGAAGATGGAAGGAAGGGGGGGAGAGGAAGATGGAAGGAAGGGGGGGAGAGGAAGATGGAAGGAAGGGGGGGAGAGGAAGGAGAAAGAAGGAGAGAGATTTCAAAGGATGAGAGAGATGGAAGAAAGGAGGAGGGAAGACCGAAAATAAGGAGTAGGGTGAAATTGGGGAAGCGGAGTAGGAGGAGAGAAGTGAAAGGAGAAGAGGAGGCAGGAGAAAGGAGAAGAGGAGGCAGGAGAAAGGAGAAGAGGAGGCAGGAGAAAGGAGAAGAGGAGGAGGAAGAGAAGAAAGGGGAAACAGGAGAAAGGAAAAGAGGAGGCAGGAGAAAGGAGAAGAGGAGGCAGGAGAAAGGAAGAGAGGAGGAGGAAGAGAAGAAAGGGGAAACAGGAGAAAGGAAAAGAGGAGGCAGGAGAAAGGAAGAGAGGAGGAGGAAGAGAAGAAAGGGGAAACAGGAGAAAGGAAAAGAGGAGGCAGGAGAAAGGAAGAGAGGAGGAGGAAGAGAAGAAAGGGGAAACAGGAGAAAGGAAAAGAGGAGGCAGGAGAAAGGAGAAGAGGAGGCAGGAGAAAGGAAGAGAGGAGGAGGAAGAAGGAGAAAGGCAAAGAGGAGGAGAAAGAGAGAGAAGGGGAGGGAGAGGGAGATGGAAGGAAGGGGGGGAGAGGAAGATGGAAGGAAGGGGGGGAGAGGAAGATGGAAGGAAGGGGGGGAGAGGAAGATGGAAGGAAGGGGGGGAGAGGAAGATGGAAGGAAGGGGGGGAGAGGAAGATGGAAGGAAGGGGGGGAGAGGAAGATGGAAGGAAGGGGGGGAGGGGGTGGAGAAAGAAGGAGAGGGAGGGGCAAGGTTATGAGGAGAAAGGGGAGGGGGAAGGGGAAGGGGGGGGGGTTGGACGAAGAGGAGCGGGGGAGAAAAGAGGGATAGGAAGAAGAGGAGACAGGGGAGAGAAAGAGAGAGAAGGGGAGGGAGAGGGAGATGGAAGGAAGGGGGGAGAGGAAGATGGAAGGAAGGGGGGGAGAGGAAGGAGAAAGAAGGAGAGAGATTTCAAAGGATGAGAGAGATGGAAGAAAGGAGGAGGGAAGACCGAAAATAAGGAGTAGGGTGAAATTGGGGAAGCGGAGTAGGAGGAGAGAAGTGAAAGGAGAAGAGGAGGAGATAGAAGGAGAAGGAAGAGAAGGCAGGAGAAAGGAGAAGAGAAAGAGGAGGAGGGAGAAGAAAGGAGAAGAGGGGGAATAGAAGGAGGAGGAGGAGGGAGGAGAAAGGAGAAGAGGAGGCAGGAGAAAGGAGAAGAGGAGGAGGAAGAGAAGAAAGGGGAAACAGGAGAAAGGAAAAGAGGAGGCAGGAGAAAGGAAGAGAGGAGGAGGAAGAAGGAGAAAGGCAAAG